TTCTGCTATGACTTGCTTTTATTGGGAGCAGCATAGTGGCTTTGTATGGTGAGCATTTCTAAATTGCTACGCTGGGGTCCTGGTCTCAGTTTGCCCTGGAGACACCAACTGCATGGAGTATGTTCATGGTGTGCTTGCCTATGCTTCCTCATCCTGGTCATTTGGAATAGATGTCAGATTGTAAACGCTCCCAGGAAGGAATGTGCTGATTAAACCATGTTTGTACTTTCCCAGTCACTGCAGAATTTTCCATCACTGTGTAAATTAATAAACTAAACCAAATATACCCGACTCAGTGGGCTCTGAATTCTGCAGCGTGGCCGGACACCTCGACATCATATCTGCTCCTCTCTGTCACTTCCAGCACTGGTTCCCCAATGTCTACAGGATACAATTCCAGATCCTTCTCCTCATATATAAAGCCCTCAACACTCTGGGTCCTCATTTCTACCAACCATTAAGTCTACAGACATGCACCCAGCCGCAGTGTTTGCTCTTTCTTCCTTGATCGTCACCACAACGCACAGTAACGCACCACCGTGAGTTGTGGTGCGCTGCATCAGAAAAGCTGCATTCCATTTTCTGGTGCGTCACTATACATTAACAGCTTATTCAAAATAAACCGGCTGCCTCAACACAACACACGTTTGCATTCGACACAAACCAGTATGTACTAATGCAACACACAGGAACTGAGAATTGTAGATGGACCCCTGCAGTTCATTTTCTTCAGAAACCAGCCACAGCCTGAGTAGAAAAGCCTGTCCCCTGCCAGCATGCTGCAGAGAAGTACCCTTGCACTCTGTGTAGAAGCAGTGGTCTCTCTGCAAAGGTCCATCATGCCCCCTACTGAGTCAGACCTATAGATCTACAGTCAGCCAAGCTTGTGCTCCCACACAGAGAGCAAGGGTCTTTCTCTGCAGCATGCTGGACGGGGGCAGGCTTTTCTACTCCGGCTGTGGCTGCTTTCTAAAGAAAATGAACTGTGTACATTTTTGGTTTTTGATGCACTTGCAATGCATTCTGATGATTTGAACTAAAGCAACTTTTCATAAAGGCGAGCAACCCAGATTTACAACATCATGAACCCATCAGAAGTTCCCTCCCGGGGGAAAAAAGTACAGGCGGTGGATCTGAGGTTTACAGAATGGCGGGTTTCTCAATCACATGCAGAAGCCGCGGCTAATAAAGGTCATGTAACAATCGGGAGCTAATACAACTTGAAGAGCCGGTCGCTGTGACCCAGAGATACGCACTTCTAGGTATTGAGCATTTGTTTCTGAAGATATCCCTGCTGGTTTTCACTCAGTGCTGACCACATACACCTCAGAATGTCTTTTATTTCCCTATACAATCGATTTTGCTGTTGTTGACGGGACTTGATAGGTCTTAAAGTGTATTTCCACCTTTGCAGCCACATTGGGATAACCCCTTTTTTATGTTTGTTACATCTTCCCATTCACATTTTTTTGTTCTCGGTGCTGAGTTTTGCTCTGGAATACAAGGAGGATTGGGCAGGTTAATGTTGACATAAATAACCCTGTCTGTGCTGTGCTGGAAGATCTCATCAGTTGAAGGGCCCGTCCACATCAGACACAGTGCGTTCCGGCCCAATTCTGGCCGGAACGCACTGGATGGCATTGCGGCCGGCTCACTATGTTGCGGGGCGGGAGGGGGCGTAACTGTCCATTGAAGTTAATGGCATCGTAGCCCTCCAGCCGCAATGCGATCGGTCAAAAGGGAACGTGTCGCACATCAATGCCTGCATTCCAGTACAGTCAGAAAAAATAGTGCTTGCAGCATTTTTCTGACCGGACCGCAGGCATTGATGTGCCTTGTGTTCACATTACGGCTGGAGGGTGTGACTACAGTGCCATTCACTTCAATGGATTGACCCCCCCCCGCCTCACAACATAGAGAGCTGGCCGCTATGAGATCCTGTGCAATCTAGCCAGAATCGGGCCAGAATGCACTGTGTCTGGTATGAAAGGGCCCCTAGACTAGATTTGAGCACTGCCTGTCCTAACAAAGATCTATAAGCATTGAATGTTAATGAGAGGAAGCTCAGTCTGTCCCTAGTCTTTCTACTGGGACAGTTAGAGTTTCCTGGCACTCAGAAAAGCATGCAGGGGCCTCAGCTACACAGACACATCTAAAAGGTAGGAAATATTTTTGCAAAATTACTTTGCGGTATGCTGTGTGAATGGAAACTTATAAAGGGGATTTCTCAAATTTGACTGTAAAAGTGGAAATACACTTTAAAGTGAACCTCGGCTTTACCCAAGTAGGGCACGGCAACAGGTTCACTTTAAATTACCAACAGCATAAACTAACCTTCCTTTTGCCCCCTCACCAGCTCATTCAGTCATCGTGTGGGCAAGGCTAACTATGTGGCAGGGAATTAAAGGGAATAGGCAACACAACTTCTCCTTGAAGACCATTTTATGTAATGAGTAATCACCAGTTACAGCATTGCGTTTTTCTTCCTCCGAAGTTCAACTCTGCACAAAGCAGGTCAAGCAAGCGGAGGCAGTGTGATGGGCGATGTTCTGCTGGGAAACCTCGGGTCCTGCCATTCATGTGGATGTTACTCAGGACACTTGGACTAGTATAAATAATAGGTGGCATTAAGGAGTCAATAGGAACTGGCATAAACAATAGGTGACATTATAGAATTGATAGGGTCCCATATAAATAATAGGTGGCATTATAGAGTCAATAGGACTGGTATAAATGAAAGGTGGCATTATAGAGTCAATAGGACTGGTATAAATGAAAGGTGGCATTATAGAGTCAATAGGACTGGTATAAATAATAGGTGGCATTATAGAGTCAATAGGAACTGGTATAAATAATAGGTGACATTATAGAGTTGATAGTGTCCCATATAAATAATAGGTGGCATTATAGAGTCAATAGGACTAGTATACATGATAGGTGGCATTATAGAGTTGATAGGAGCCAGTATAAATAATAGGTGGCATTATAGAGCCGGTATACATACTGGGCCATGTTATGGAGGTAATAGGAGCCAGTGTACATATTAGGTAGAGTTATTGGGCTAATAGAAGACTACATAGGGTCATAGACTATGTTATTGGGGTACACTATGACCATCACACCTATATAAGCTTGTTGGACATCCAATGTCAAAAACAGGACCTATCCTCCTGTTTTTGCAGCTATAACAGCCTCCTTGTCTTCTAGAAGGGCTTTCCACAAGATTTTGGGCAGAACTGTGTTTTTGTCCCCATAGACTTCAATGGGCGCACCAGAAAACGTACAACACAAGCGTTTTTTTAATGACAACTGACAACCAGGTTACTCTTCCTAGAAAATACAGGTCTGTGAAAAAACTGGAGTATTCAGGAGTGTCCATGCTGCATGTGGAGACGTTCATCCGCCTGGTGAGGAGCCTCTATGACCCCAGTTATGCCCATTACAAGAACGGTGGCAAGAGGCAGAGGGCCTGGGAAGATATTGGGCGTGGTTTTCCTGGATTGGGAGCTCCGAGAGTACAAGATACCACACAGAGGAACCATGAAGGAGACACAAGGATGATGACAACAATCTATGTCTCCTCCACTCCCATCCTCCTTATTGGACAGTGATTGAACATCATCACCTCTATCCAACGACCAGGTAGAAGACCCAGGAAGCAGACACAAGGAAGATGATGACGTATGATGTCACGGATGATAGTTTCGATTCTCCAAAACAATAACGCCTGAAGCTTCAAAAAACTAATAACGGCTTCCAAAAAGAGGGAAAAAAGCTTCAAAATCCCCTGAATAGGCTCACGCACAAGATTGAATGGGGGCTTAGGGGTAAAGTGTGATATTACTGAGGAAATGGGAGGAGCTATAAGGCTCAATTTACTAAAACAAATTAATTCAATTACATTTATTACTTTTTCTCATAATAATTCCTCCTAAAATAATGTTACATGTGCAAGGGTAACTATCTTATCAGTGTGGAAATAATTGTTCTCATGTAAGGGGCAGTTAACTGTTGAAAATCTTATCATCTCATGAATTAAGTATAAGTCTTATCATCTCATGAACTGGTATTTTAGCTCTGCCAGCTCTTCTCCTGGACTACAGAAGGATTAGCCTTTATGTTGTAAAGATCTGAGAGTTGAGTAGTTTAGCAGAAGACAATGGACAGGGCTGACACCACTTAGATTGCAAAAAACTTGTCGTCAGCCCACAACAGAGCTTAAGATTGTCACAAACTGGTCCCAGCAATTAGAAGCAGCTACCTGCAGAGTTTTCTGAGTAAAGAGTGGCTGTGGGTGCTGGGCACATGAACAAAGAGCCACCCAGCACCATATTATTCCTACTGTCACTGGGGCATTTTTTTTACTCCCACTGACGCATAAGTAGTGATGGGCACAATCACCAAGGTAAAGGGAGGAGTTGGAGCTTGAACATATAGGCATTGTTATTGAAGTAATGGGAGGAGTCATTCATAGTGATAAGGATGCTTGTGGCAATAGGAGTTATAGGCATCGCTATTGGGGTATAGGTAGGAGTTATAGGAATCGCTATTGGGGTATAGGTAGGAGTTATAGGCATTGGTTTTGGGGAATAGGTAGGAGTTATAGGTATTGGTATTGGGGTATAGGTAAGAGTTATAGGCAACGGTTTGGGGTATAAGTAGGCGTTATAGGCAACAATGTAATGGTATTAGGAGGATTTATAGACGTTGTTATTGGGGTAATAGGAGTTATAGGTAGGAGTTATAGGCATCGATATTGTGGTATAGGTGGGAGTTATAGGCATTGGTATTTGGGGCAATAGTAGTTATGGGTAGGAGTTATAGGCATAGCATAGCTATAGAGGTAATAGGAAGCGATACAGCGACCAGGAAGCAGGGTTAAAGGGAGATGTTTGAATGTATCATGACCGTAGACGGCACATCACAATACACTGATAATTTGTGTACAACCATTAGTTTCCTATGCACATCTAGTAAATAACGTCACAAAGCCATCTTACCATAAGCTCCGTCTGGGGGGCTCTTCTCTGTGTCATCCTCCATGACGGTGTGGTTGGCCCCTCAATGTCTGGTCCTGTTGCTCGGGAGGGCTTCTATCCTTGGACGCTCATGCAATGTCCCTATGCTGTTGTTGTGGCTGCCTCCCCCCTTTCCTCCATATATGAGATCACTGTGCTCCAGGCTATGCTGCCCCCTCCTCCTCCTCCTGTACAGATAATGAATTCCTCAGCCCCTCTCCACCACTCTCAGCATTTCCAGATGTCACACTCACTTCTGCAGAGCCCCGGCCCTGCCCACATCTTTAATAATGAGCTCACGCCCTGCAGATTTCAGGCTAATAGCAAAGGAAGGGGGCATGGGCAAAGAGGGTGCCGCCCTTTGGAATGCAATCCGCTAACTTCATGCAGTCAAAGTGGGGTCTCTCTTAAAGGGGCACACCCTCTTAATGCATGCTCTTAAAGGGGTAACTCTAATGGAATCCACATTTTTGTTATCTTACAGTTGGTGAATTTGCAAAATAAAACATTGTGTTATGTTCAGAATATTGGCTGTTTTTCTGTTGTTGCTGTTGTTGTTGTTGTAGGACCTGTAGAAGAAAAAGACAGGAAGTTGCAACCTCTTCTGCAGCTGTGAGCTGTTTTTAACCCCTTGACTGCCATTATGTCTATGACATGTCCTTGGCAATCAAAGGGGTTTAGAAGTGCAGCCAAAAATTATATTTTGTTTATATTATATTACATTATTATCTCAGCATCTTGTTCACCCACTTTTATGTCCTATTTTACCATTTCTCAATGACAGGTTGAATGGTCGTGTTAATTGGCGTTGCCCTATTTTTACTTTACACCACAAAGTTGTATTGGTTTATTTTTATTATAGCATTATATTATTAGACTATTGTGAGCTTTCATTTATTTTGTATTTGTTTCTGAAGGGAATTGGTATGTGTATACAAAACATATTTATGGTCTTGTTCTTTTTTTTTTTCAGCATATGATTCTTATTGGTGTACAAAAGTACAAATATATAACCCGTCATATGGGTGTAAAAAAACATTTGCATAGCAGAAAATGAATAATAATGAATAACAAAGAAACATTGACCCTTGGGTCTATGAACCATAAACCAACACACTTGCATTGTAAGGACCTGGTCTTGTTCTTAAAGGAGAACTATGAGGTGAGTGCTTTTCACTCACCTCATAGTTCTAGCCGACCTGTGACAATGACACTGTCACAGGTCGGCTCAGTAGATCGGGAGGTGAGCGAACACATACCGGCGTTCACTCACTTCTCGATCTTGTCACGGCTCTCTGCCGTGACAGGGGGAGGGGCTGGATTCCCCTCTCCCCGCTCCGATCTGCCAGCGCTGACTGGCGGAACGGACGGGGGAGGGGGCGGGTACAGCTGGCTCTGCCTCTAGATAGGCAGAGCCAGCTGTCACTCACGCAGCTGGGCGGATCCAGACATAATTGTCGTGATCCGCTTCAGCTGCGCCTTCTCAGTATACCGCTCGCGGTAGCTCGCGGTATACTGAGCTTAGGGTAACGGGAGGACGCTAGTTTGTGTCCTCCCGTTATGCTAAGGAGAACTATGGGGAAAAGCCCTAATCCTATAGTTCTCCTTTAATCTTCTGGTTGCAGACACTATATATGTGGATAGCCATTTGTCTTATTTTTTTAGATTTCTAATAACTATCTTTGGTATCATATTTAGATTTATATTATTATGACTATATATTCATTATTTATTATTCGTAGCCCTGATGAAAGGAGGGGGGTGTGTTTTTGCCCTTGAAACGTGTTGGCTGTTGTTTTATGAATCATTAAAGCCAGGGCCAGACTAAGAGAATCATGGGCCTGGTACTATCAGTGGGTCAGACAGGAAGCAGCAGAGGAGGCTCATTAATTAGGCAGCCGCTCGTGGGGTTCCAGCAAACGGTCGTCTAATATGCCTGATTAGAGAGCTGCTGGCGCCTCTGCCTGATTGTGTTCAGCCTGGCCCAGATTGCCATTGGGCATACTGAGGCGATCTGGGCCGGAAGGGCCTAATTTCAGTGGTGGGCCTGGAGCTAGTGTTCCAGTAGCCCCTATGTTAATCTGGCCCTGAAGAAAGCTATGTTGCAACACTTTATGAATCTGGTCTGGCACTCCTTCTTTTGTTCATGCTTAGTGTGAAGTTCCTGGGTACTCATTGGTGGGTAGCCCTATTTCCATGTAAGCTGCCTAAGCAGTCAGTGAGTTTTCCGCATGACTGTCTTTCACCTTTACTGCTCTGTATGAATAAACATTAAAGTCCCAACGTCTGTTAGATGTATTTCTTTATATACCGTTATAACTGCAAACATCCTCCATGTGCATAGCTCATAGCTCAGCACCTCCACAAATATAATATATTGCAGCTTACAAATCTTTAGTTGTGGGGGCTGCATTCATTTTCTTCCGATGGTGATCATGTCTGTAACTCACTTCCTGCATTAGGGTCACAATCACTTACTGTAAATGTGTTAAAGCTGAACTCCGGGATAAGCAAATATTGTCCTCATACAAGAGTCACGTGTATTCATCCTGGAATCTTGGTGAGCTTTGTGTATTTCTTCCAGATCTGTGGCGTAATCCAGTGTTAAACTCTTGGAGCTTCCTGTAATAAAGACCGGTCACTGCTGCTCTCTCTCCTTGTGCAGGGTGGCTGGTCTGGTCTCCGCCTCCTCCTGTAATAAAGACCGGTCACTGCTGCTCCCTCTCCTTGTGTAAGGTGACTGGTCTTGTCTCTGCCCCCTCCTGTAGTTTTCTTCTGTCAGCCTGTAGTGGGTGGGCCTGCTGGGTCCCTCCCACAACTCTGCAAAAACTCAGTAAAAACCAGTCTGCAAAGGCATTTGGTGCAGACAATGTAGATTTAGATAATTTTGTGGCTTTTGGGTCTATGGGATGCTCAGTAGCCAATTTCTACAAGTTTCATGTGATCCAACAAACCATTTTGCTTTTGGTGCAAAGGTAAGCTAAGACTTCTATCAATAAGTTACCTACAGCTTTTCTGCGTTTTAACTGGACAGTTTATTTCTAGGGCCAAGATAGGTCCTACTCATTACAGCATGTTTGTAGATGGTGCACAGAGATCAGGTTGATGCAAGGATATTTACTGATAGGAAGGATTAAATATCGGTTACATTTCTAGACGTTACTCGAGTCATGTCTTCATTAATAATTGATGTGGCAGAAAGGTGATAATGACATCCTTCTAGCCAGTGTGGATCATACAATCTATAGAGATCTTGTTATTGAACTGTGTGCCCTTTAAGAAATGCCTGTGCTTGCGACGTAACTCCAAATGCAGCCAACCTGCCTTAGGAGCCTATTGATGGGCGTCTATTGCTTGTCCATGCCCTCTGTTTCTCTATATATAATTACTTTCTCACATACCTTTTACATTTCTAAAGGATTTCTATGCGTTTAAGGTTCACATAGCTTACTGCAAATATCGGGTTTCCACAAAGGTTATGAAAAGCGACATGCATTAGCATTGTATAGTTTTGAAGTTGCATTGTCATGAAAGCCCTTGGTTCCACTCCCAGTGGGAATGCATAGTAGAGTCCGCAGATAGCTTGTTTCCAGTCCTGTGTCCCTGCATGGGCATCCTGTTGTCATAAGCCCTGAGACAGCTAATATTGTTGTAAGGCATAGGGGATCTGCCAAGTTGTGTTTAGGGTACTGGCTCAGATGTCTCAACGTGTCCCAATGTCAATATTAATTGTACGTACAGACACATCAGAACAGAAGAGAGTGAGGAACAGATTGAAGAGTTCCTGAGTTGTTGAGTTTATGCTCAGGCAGTAGCGTCACAAGGGGGGTGCGGCCCGCACCCGGGTGACACCATTGGAGGGGTGAAACCAAAATGACTGACAGTCGTTTTGGTGTCACTCCCTTTGGTGTCACCCCCCTTTGAAAAGTCGTAGACTGAGAGCCCGACAGTTTCAGGAGAGAGGAGGGGACCCGGTGGCATACCTTAAAACAGCAAAAAGTTTTCCTGGCACACTCACAAGCTAGCATGTAAAAAAACTTGTCCAAGGTTAAAAACAGAGGTTTGGATACACGTCTTCTAAAGAAAATGTCCTAACTCTAAACTATCAAAATCTCCATCTTGTAGTACATGGGGCAGAAGATAAAATTGGGTGCAGGTTTGTCAGGAGGAAGCCCAACCCCCCTGACAAACCTGCACCCAATTTTATCTTCTGCCCCATGTGCTCCAAGATGGAGACTCTGATAGTTTAGTGTTAGGACCGCACTATAAGAGGTGCCATGGCGCGGCTGTGCGGCTTTCACATTTTCTGTAGAAGACGTGTATCCAAACCTCTGTTTTTAACCTTAGTGTGAGACAAGTTTATTTACATGCTAGCTTGTGAGTGTGCCAGGAAAACTTTTTGCTGTTTTACTGTTTAAAGCCCATTCCGTGTGCACCTTGCTGTAAAGCTGGTGACGAATTGATGAGTGCGTTTGTCATCTGTTTTGCTCCGGTGGCATACCTTATCCCGCCGGCTGAATGTCCCATCCTCTCTCATCCGGCATCCATCACCAAGATGGATAACCGCGCATGTGCGATTTTGTCATTGCGCACATGCGTGGTGACATCTCGCACACGCGCGATGTCTTCACAGCGTGTGTCACCCGGTATCGTTCCGGGTGACACCCGGCCTCGGGACGCCTCTGTGCTCACGGCATGGGTGCCTCCAACATTGAGTGGTAGAGGCAAAGTTCTGATGCCTTAGAAGAGTGGTAGGTCATTCGCCATGGCCTTCTTGGACTTTATGGTGAGGAAAGTCTATCTAGAGTGGATGCTGAAAGTGACACTAAACTCAGGAGTTAAATCTTAAAAATGCATTCAGCTAACCTATTAACAAAAATGTATCTTATTTGTGTATCACTCGGCTGTAGATCCTCCAATCATCTCTGAATTGGTGCTGACACTGTCCTTCCTTCTGGAGGGTGGCTACTTTTGTTCCACAAGGTCCCTGTGTGTTGTAAAGTAGCCACTGCTTCAAGCGGTACCATGATACAAGGCAGGGCAGCCTCGTGTCAGACGCTCTCCTATCTGTGAATTATTATTATTTGATAGGAGATAAGATATTTGGGTTGAGCGCCACCTCCCTAGAAGTCAAAACTGCAATATGATTAGAATCATTTAAAAGACAACTTCAACTAAACCAAATATTTCAGTCTTGCATAGTTGCTGGCAAGTTGAGTCACATGT